GCCTGGTGGGGCTGTCAATTCTGAATGCTATAAGACGACGGTGACTAAGCTGAAAGCCTGCATTTCTCGAATCAGGCCAGAGAAGCAGACAACCTTTTGCTTGCAACACAATAACACTGGACCCCATACCAATTTGGTGACCACTGTGCACATTGCAAAGTTTGGCTGGACTGTCCTACTACATCCACCTTATAGCCCCGATTTAGTGCCTTCAGACTTCCATCTCTTTGGGCCTATGAAAGATGGACTACATGGGCAACATTTTCCAGACAACGATACTGTCATTGCAGCTGTGAGAAAGTGGCTAGTCTCTGCTGGTGCAGACTTTTACAGACACAGCATACAGGCTCTTGTTCATCATTGGTGAAAGTTCATAACGAATGGTGGTGATTATGTGGAAAAATAACTGAAGTAGCTGAAATCTTGCCCTATTTAACTGCGTTATTATTCTTTCTGTATCTTTTGTAGTTTTCACTAAAAAAAACAGGAGACATTATATATGGAACGCTCCTCGTATCTTGCTGCAAAAGCAAAATTGTAGGACTGATACAGCTCTCTACAGACAACTGTATCTATGTCCTTGTTCTCATGCGTCTGATAACTAAATAAACATCACCATATTGCACAGTAATGACATATAAAAGAATACTAACTTAAAATAAACTAGCTTATGACAAACTAACCTAACCTAATATTATTTACAGCATAATTCTAATACTACAAATAAACAGAAATTTGTGTTTAACTTATGGATATTACAAAAGATTCCAATATCTTGGGAGACTAATATGTTTAAGTTAAACAGTAATTCAGTAAAACAGCATCTTACATTTAATCCAAGACAGCCTAGGCTGTGTGCAAAGGGTACACAAATCCTGCAATGCACCCCACTGCAAAAGGCAATTCTAGGAATATAAGATTAATAATTATTAACTGGAAATTATTTCAGTCAGATGAGGCACCTGGGTACCCTGCTTTCAGATGTGATGTGTACATTCATCATACATGAGTAAACATTAAAGCCATCTATTATGAACACAAACTACAGTCACTTCCAAACAACTACACTGTGAAGGAAGCTGCAACTGCTAGTGTCATCTGTTTTTATAACTGTTTCAGAAATGAACACTACCATCTATAATGAACTATATGTACTTGTTCAAGCTTGAAATATGGTTATGTAACATGAGAGAAAACAAGTGTTCGTGCATTATCTCTGCAGATACTTAACAAACACTGACTGCCACAAACACCTTAAAGCTGCAAAATGATCATAAAAACAAATATGATTCACTACACTGATGTAATATAGCATCTTTCTTAAATCAACCTATGGTTTGCATACAACTGTTTGAACGTTAATGCAGATCAGTCAGTATTTTAACCATTATACATAATTAAAACAATATGAAGCACTGAAACAAAGGTTAACTCAAAGCGGCCTCCGTAGTCTAGAGGTAACGTTCCCGCCTCATGACTCTTGGTATGCGGGTTCAAATACCCGGCAGAGGTCGTCGAATTTTTAAGGGCGGAAAAATTCAGGGAACAAGTCCTCCGGGAGGGACTTTAAACTGTGTGTCCCGTGTCGTAACTTTACGGCACGTAAAAGAACCTCATATCCCCAAAGGGGATCACTGAGCCAAATTCCAGGACGTTTCCCGCCCAACAATAGTCTCTAAGGCCTCTGCTAGATGGGGGAAGCATTATAGACACCGCTAAGCAAGTGGCCAAACTCACTTGCTCGGCGGGACTGATGGTACACACCATTTATCGGTAGGGTATAGAGACTGGTAGAATATCATAGAGGGAAGCACAATAGATCAAACTGGTCGCAGTGCATGGGGAAACCCACCCTCTCTAAATAACTAAGGTTAACTCAAATACTTTGTCACTAAATGAACATATGCACTCCTTTTGTGGCACGACAATTATCCAGCCAGAAACAGATTTTAGCTCACATAGGCCTTGGGATTTCTAGTTTTCATTTAATTCGCTGCATGATCCACTGTTTGATTTCATCTCAATTGGTCATCTTCCCAGTACATCACACATACAGCTTATGACATAACCTCAAAAGAAAGAGTCATGCAGCATCAAATCCAGTCATCTCAAAAATCAAGTGATCAGACTTCACTTTTTCGCTTACTGTCCGAGAAACCTTTTTATTGGATGCATCACGAACAACATTTCTGTAGTGAGGTGCTGGTCTATCTTGCTGAAAATTTTCAGCTGTATCTTCTTCCTCCATCTCCAGAAATGTGAAGTCCTTCGTCATTTATGACATATAAACATGTCTTGATCTTGTTATCTCAGGCCAGGTGATCAGTTCTCACCTCCCACATGCCCTGATATGCCTGAGAACTTTATCTTTCCAAGGTCTGAAGAAGACAAAGTTGATATATCTCATCAAAACAGACGAGCGCCTCAGTACAGCAACATTCTTTGTGATGCACTCAATGTCAGCTTTCTTAGGCAATCAAGACGGAGGTAAGCCCTAATCATATGGACTCTTATGAGCATCATATCTGACACTCCATAAGTTTTTCTTACTGAGTTTTGTCAAAGATACATGCATGGGTATACTGAGCAGATAAATAACCTAGATGAATTCAAACAGTGGATCACTGCAGTTGTAAAAACAGGATCTGCAGAGTTGCTGATATGTATATTGGCTCAAATAAGTTAACAGCTAAGCATCAGTCATTTACCAACAAGAGGTTTCTAAACTAACCTTAACCTCAAAACTTTTCTTTCTCAAAACGTGTAATTGTTAAGAAAATATAGCCTCTTAAAATATGAGAGTGACTTTATGGACACTCTGCNCTGACTGCACTACAAGACAGCCACTGTATACATATCATGGATATTCTGTGAGGTTCTTACCTTTGTTGATTGGTTCATGACTCTGTGCCTCACGGCAACCGATGCATCACCAGCTGTGAGACACATACAAATTTTGCCAATGACTCAATATGCCTCTTGGCTGATAAGGTTTAGAATGAAGTAATTACAATCCACACATCACAGAAAGTGTTGAAAATGCTGTCCTACTATATCTTAACATTCCTCACACAAGCAGAGAAGTTCTCATTTACCTTTTGAGGCTGTTCTGCAGGAAAATATTTGCAATTTACCTATGAATATATTCTTTTAGTTCTTCTTCCATTCAGGGGTTACTCTTGTAAACTCTGTACTTCAAACAACCACAGAAGAAAAAATCACAAGGGTTAAGATTGGGCGAATGTGTTCACCAAATACATTGCTGATAATTCCATCCCCAAAGACATCAAACAAAGGCTGCATAGACATATGTGCAGTGTGGGCAGTAGTTGAGTCTTGCTGAAACCAGCCATAGAGTCTTTCTTCTTCTGTTAATTCCAGAAGGAATTGCCTTAGAATGACATGAACATATATTTCACAATTAAATGTTTCATTAAAAAACACAGGTCCAACAATCCTCTTCCATATACAGCACATCAGACACTATCACTGGATGGAGCTGGACTTCATGGGTTAGATGTGGATTCTGTGAATTCCAGTATCAATTATTTTGCGTATTATGTATCCCTGTACGTGAAACCATGCTTCATCAGAAAAAAAATGTCAGTTGAGGATTGATCTCACCTTCAATGACAGATTGTAGACACCAACTACAAACATGAACTCCACTAGCTGGATCACATGGCTGCACGGCGTGGATAATTGTTGTTTTATATGGTCCAAGCTTTAGCAATTGTGTAGCCATTCTTGCACTAGACTTTGATACTTCAGTCTCTTGAGCTAGATGCTTCAGTGATTTTCTAGGTTTATGTTCAAGTCTGGCTATTATGTCATCTAACTCTTCCTCAGTAAGCACTCGGCACTTTTTTTTGTTTCTTGCCTATTAATAGTCCTGCTGATTTATGTCTATTCACCAAATTGTGAATTGTTTGTCTGCTGGGAACTTTTTCATCACGAAATTTATGTCGAACTTTTCACCAACATTTTCTAGCAGTCCATATTTCATGTAGGTGTCACACACAAATACATGTTGCTCTAAAATATACCGCAACCATGGCGGAAACTACTCACTAATTGTAACTGAGAACAAATGGCTAATAGAGCTGAGAACTGCCAGATGGCAGATGAATTCAGTCCATACCTCCTATACTGTTTCTCTGTTTTGGAACATTTCACCTCCATCCTCAGGGTTGAAGAATAAGACAACCAAGAAACCGGGGTGAAAGGAGGTGACATGCAGTCTATTGTGGCTCTGTTTTCCATCTGCTTTCACAATGGTTTATTGCTTTGTTTATTCTTCAACCCTAAAGATGGAGGCAACATGTTCTTCTAAAACATCGGTTGACTCCCAATGAACTACAGTGTTATATCCCAGATGACAGAATTCTTCATAACAACTGCTGTGAGCACCTCAAATCCTACAGCGTTCTACGTCATTCTACCACCACCATCATCAACATCATTGTTACCAAGAGCATTAAAAAAAATTGTTCTATTGCCAAATGTTAAACCATTTAAGTTCAGTTTACAAGTAAAAGCAATATACTTTCATTTTCACTGGAAGGGGGGGGGTTATTTTATTCACCTGGGAATCAAATTCCCTCCAGGGTCACCTTCTTCATTAATCACTGCTGACTACATCAGAGAAAATATAATTCCACACCACCCAAGATTCATTCGCATCCATCACTACTTCATTACCAAAGCACACATGGGAGCAGCAAACCAATAGATGCTCATGTCAAGTTGTGAAATATAAAAAAAAATCACTCTTGTATTTAACACAAATACTTGAAAACTTTGCAGAATGTGCAACCTCTTCAAATGTTTTTGGCCATAAATATGGCTGTAACCTTACATTATGGCTAAGAATATACATAGAAGGAAAATTTTATCGACTCTTTCCTGGAGAAAGAACAGAATAGGAAAAGTTCAGAAAATAAAATGGACAGCTATGATTCATAATGTAAATTCTGAAACATGTGCCTACCTTTCTTGGTTCTGCATCTCCTTAATCATCAGTTCACCTATTGGATCAGTCTGCGGTCGCTCCCCAAGGAGCCTCTGCTGGTCCAAGTCACCCTGCATATGGCTGAATGCGTGTTCACCAACAGTAACCGAACTGTCAAGTTGTGAAGAGAGATCAACTGATTCCTCACCTATAAAAAAGAATTTATTTTTGATGCAAACAATGTCATCAACTTCAATAACTGGTTCAATTTCTACTAGATTTTGATTAATGCACGCAAATAAAAAACTATTTTTGTTAAACACAAAACTAATCATTTTAATAACTCAGTCAATTTATGATATTTTACTGAATGTGTACAAAACATACATAACTTTTCACACAGATATCATCATAGCAACATCAATAAATATGATCATAAAAGTCACAAATATTATTATAACCATTATTTATAAAATGTAACAACAACACACAATGTTCAGTTGCAACACAAATGTGCTGCTTGTGATAGTGTGATAGTAGTTCACTACATGACCATACAAGCAACAGTACATGGGTCTTCCTTACACACAAGCTAATTCTGTGTCAGTACCTACTTACATAGAAGTTCACATGTGATTTACTCCAAAAATGTGATACATACTTAACATATTTTATAAAAACTGCTAGAAGTGAACCCCTTCAGCTTCATTCACACATCACAGTGCATAAATAAGTTTTGCAACACCCTGAATTTCATCCCCAAAACCTGAAATCTGTTACTTTGTTCTGGAGCACATTGCTGGTTATCTTGCTGAAAATACCCATAATGTTTTACTTCAGCTGTCAAATGGTTCATAAAAAATTCAATACACAGTTCATGTGTTTATGTGTTTGCTGAAAAAAATATCACCATGCACTCACAACACACCATATCCCTATTTCTACACTGTGTACTTTGCAGAGTGAGTAACATAACCACTAAGGTAAGTTCATGCCTCATCAGTTATGAACAGCAACTGTTCATCCACAACTCTATCAGAGATATTTTGCATGGTCCAGTTATAAAAGTGAATTCTGGCTGCCTCATACAGATGTTAAGGTCATGCAAAACCATTATTTTATATAGCAAGAATCTAATTAGCTGTGTGGCAGTTAATATAGATGCCAGTGAAATACTACTTTATGTATCAAGCGTCTTATCAATTTGTAAGGACTGAACTTTAACCATGCATGAATGCCTCAAACTTGTTTGGTTAGCACATTCCTCTTTGACTGTCTCTTGTGTCACAAACTGAATCTGTGGTCCACAATTTTTGACAAGCTTCAATACATACAATTTTATAAAGACTCATTCTAGTGAGTATTTATCATAATACCTTCAACTGCACTTTCTTATAAAATATTTCACTATGAAAATTTGCTGCAGAATTGTATACCTCTTTGCATGAGCAGCAAATTTAGACCTTGATGCAAAAAGATGTAAGCAAGCAGAATGTTCAATCACTGATTGCAATATGCCTGCTGACTGTGCAAATACTGACTACCTAAATGGTGACTGAAGACAAAGAGCTGCTCTATTGAGAGTGTTGCTAAATTTCCTACTGGTTTGAACACTATTTATACATTCAAGCACTAATGTATGTCTGTGTAACTCTCTTTTTTAGAATTTCTACCTACTTTTAAGGAAAAAAATCATCTATGTTTCCTGTTATACTGCTGAGATAGCACATATCTGTTAGACAGTACTGAGGTAAGTAAAATGATACAATACTGCAGTAATGCCAGTAAGTACCAGTGATTAGCAACAGAATGCATTTAAAATTAAAATATAAGATATAACATATACTTAATCTGTAGGGGCACGCAGTAGCATAGTTGCTTGAAGCACTATGCTACAAGCAAGAAGGTCACAGGGTCAAATCCCGATGAGATCAATGAATTTTTCAACTGACCTATCCTTCCAGCCCTGGGTCAACTCAGTCTTTAACAGAAATGAGTACTAGGAATTTTCCTGGGAGTTAAAGGGTGGTCAGCATGTAAGGCTGACAACATTACCGCCATCTATGAGCCAACTGTCCAGAAGATGTGGGAACCTCAACCTCTTACACCCTTATGCGTCTTCGTGGTTTGTTGGAGGGACAGCTTTACCTTTTTTATGCTTAATCTGTTACAATTATCTCGCGGGTTCAAGTCCCGATGAGGTCATTGAATTTTTTTTAATTGACCTAATCCTTCCAGCCGCACTATGATCCTGGGGTCAATTCAGCCTCTATCAGAAATGAGTACCAGGAATATTCCAGGAACATTCTTGGTGGTAAAGGGCGGCCAGGGTGTAGGGCTGACAACCTTGCTGCAATCTATGAGCCGATTGTCTAGAAAATGTGGGAACCTCAACATCTCACAACCCTATGGGCCTCCATGGCCTGTTACAGGGATACCTTTACTTTTACTGTTATAATTATATTTCATAAAATGAAAAATATTTTTGGACAAATGCAAAATGTATACACCATAAAGGAACATCCTCACTGAACTGTTGATGGTAAGTTAATTGTTTTAGATTGCATTAGCCAGATTGCAGGATTACACAACCAAGATATGAGGAACACACTTTGCTCAACAGATGTGCTCATAACTGATTAGCCAGTACCACGAAACAAGCCCATCCCTGACATTCTTTGTCCCAGCGGTATCATATCTATCATGATCATATTACACACATAACATGTGTAATACGTCTCCTAAATAGGATATAGTCACTATGTTAAAGACACTGTTATACTATCATGTGTGTGTGTTTGTGTGTGTCTGTGCATGCATGTTAGTGTGTAAGAATAGGTCTTCCTTCAAGTTCATTTTCCTGAAACAATCTTGGTATCACTGACTTCATTTCATTCTTTAAAATGTCACAACCCTGTATAAATAAACAGAATACAAAGCATACACAAGCACTCAGTAAATGATATTTCAATGCATCAGTTAGTGACATCTGAGTCAGACAATATACCCAGAGATTTTAATCCCCTATTTATGAGGTTTATTGTAAAGTTCCCAGACTAGGTCAAAAAAGAAATGCTGGCTTAACTTACTCAATTTGGCTGCTATCTCCTTCAAAATAGTCTCCTTTGGAATGTATACAGAGATACCATCATTTTTTCCACACTTAAAAAGCACCATGGAAGCCATATTCCTTAATACTGTAAAGTACCACTTGCAATTCCTTTTGGATATCAGGCACTTTCAAAACATCGTCCCTTTAGTTTATTTTCAATTTGGGAAACAAAGCAAAATCATAGATGGCTAAGTCCAGCAAGTAGGGAGGATGGGGAATGATAACCATGTGGCTGTTAGTCACAAACTCTGTGGTTTTCATGGATGTACGGGTGGGTGCATTATCATGATGGAACAATGCAGCGCATGTTCAGATTTTCTGTTAAAATCTCTGGCAAAAAGTCCATCGCTGATCCCAATGGTGCCTGCAAGCTCATGGATTGTTTTGTGACAGTCTGCATTGATGAGTTCTAAAATTTTTTCAACATTTTCTGTCATTTAGCTGGTGCTTGGTTGCCCTGAACGTTTGTAATCTTCATCACTCAACCGGCCTTGAAACGTGAATGAAATTAAAAACTGCTGTCCAGCTTACAAATAGTCCATACAAACAACTTCACCAGTCAAACTGAGAATGACCTTCCTGAATGACAAAGAGAATGTTTAGGTATTTGCGTATGTTTCTTCCTTCTAAGTACGATAAGCCTGAGCCACACCACATATCACCATCCTAGCACATGCTGGCCACTCAGGCAAGTACCCAAAAGAAGCTGTATTTCTAATCTTTAATATTAGAAAAGAAACTTGATGTGACTTTGGTACATTTTGTATAAGCTTATATTTTTTAACATATATATAATCCATTAGCACCACAATTACACACACATGCATGCACACAAACAAGACTAGGAATTAATATTACAAAATTCTGTATGTTTATCATATTTTATAACACATGGAACAATATATCACATAAAATCTGTAGGCAACAAATGTCTCTTGCCATGCCAAACACGCCTTTGAAGATACAGTAGTTCAAGAGTTGGAGGACCCAAGCAGAGCTGGAAGAATAATATTAATATGGATCTTAAAGAAGAAATGTACAATGGTGTGGACTTCAATCAACAGGCTCATGAATTCCAATGGTGAGATCTTGTTCATGCAGTAATTACTGTTATTATTATTGTTGTTGTTGTTATTATTATTTATTTTAACTGCAAATGGGTTTTTACCCAGTGACAGTGGTACTACAACAAGACACATCACACAAAATAACACACCATGCTCAAACAAAACACAGCACATAACTACACACACAATAAAGGAACAAACAATGAATACAATGCAAATACAATTACACCTACAATTACGAGGGGGTACCCAAAAGAAACCGAACTTTTTTTTTAACTTATTTATTCAAATTTTAAGCACAAACCTTCAATCCCCTTCAAAGTACTCTCCACTTACACTAATACACTTGTCTAGTCTTTTATTCCATTTTTCAAAACATTGTCTAAATTCATCTTTTGAGATGCTTGACAGCACCTCC